CCAAAGGTGCATTTGTTGGGATTAAGCCTTAACCTGAACTTTCGCAAACGATCAAACAACTCCTTCAAATGAACCAAATGTTCTTCCTCAGTCTGTGACTTCACAATCATGTCGTCCACATATACCTCGACTTCTTTATGAATCATGTCGTGAAAGAGAGTCACCATTGCTTGCTGATATGTCGCACCAGCGTTTTTAAGACCAAAAGGCATGACTCTATAGAAAAAGGTACCCCAAGGAGTTGTGAAAGCTGTTTTATCCATGTCCTCTGGAGCCATCTTTATCTAATTGTAGCCAGAGAACCCATCCATAAAGAAAAACACCAAAGGTTGAGCGGTGTTATCAACCAATACATCAATATGAGGCAACGGGAAATCATCCTTCGGGCTTGCTCTATTCAAGTCTCGGTAGTCAACACACATACGTACCTTACCATCCTTCTTAGGTATGGGCACAACGTTAGCAATCCAAGGCGGGTAATTTATCACAGATAGGAAACCTGCTTCGAGCTGTTTCTGAACCTCTTCTTTGATCTTCAAAGCCATGTCGGGTCTGGTCCTTCTTTGTTTTTGCTTTACAGGAGGACATTCTGGCTTGAGTGGCAATCTATGCATTACTATATCAGTATCTAAGTTGGACATGTCTTCATACGACCAGGCGAAGATGTCAGCATACTCTTGAAGCAATTCAATCAACCCCTTTTTTCTTCACTTTGCAAGGCGGCCCCTATCTTGACTTCTCTCTTTACCTCTTCAGTACCGAGATTGATGAGTTCTGTTTCTTCTTGATACGGCTGGATGACCTTCTCTTCCTGTCTCAAGAGTTTGGCTAGTTCTTCAGGGACTTCACAATCTTCCTCACTATCTTCGTTAGCATGATCATCTGAATTCTCAAGGATATAAGGAGCCATAGCATTATCATTTCCAACAGAGTTCGAGACGGATCTGCATGATCGATGATTTTATGTTTTATTTTTAGAAAGTGCAAAAGAATATTTAGAATATGAAAAGAAAAGTATTGCCATTTTTATTTTGAAAAAGTAAAAGTAAAAGAAAAGACAGGGAACAAAATTGTATGCGAAAGTGTGATTTTTCATTCAATGTTAAACGAAGATTGAAACATAAGGGGCCCTTTCTACAAGCTGTCAGTATGCCTTGGGCAGGACATATGACTTAAAATGGAAACAGAAAATTACACATCAAGGAAAACAACTTCAGGGATGTCCACGGCAGTCCAATTACTGAGATCCTGGTCTGGCGCAACTTGATAGATAAATCTTGAAATATCTTCATCGTCACCTTCAGCATCTGTGGAGAGTACTTGTCCTTCTTTGCCTACACCAGCACTGACGAACACTTCAGAAATTGGAGGAACCTGCTGTCCTCTGAGAGGAACCCAACCAACTTTCATGGAGGATGATGGCTAATACCCAAGATCAAAACGGTCTTTCTTCTATGGAACTTCAACCAATTTGCCCCAACTGTCATGGGGGAGGTCTAGCTTCTATGAGGGCTTTGGCATCCTTCAAAGAGGCCAGGGGTATCTTAGACTTCTTACATTCCATGAAGGGGAACTTGTCAACAATAACAATCTCCAGAGCTTGAAAGGGAAACTCTTGTACCTCGTCTTCCACTTCCACATAACGGTAGGTAGTCAGATTATTAATCACTATGTCTTCTTCCCCACAAATGATGATAACTTGGTCATTCGCAATGAACTTCAGGTGTTGATGAAGAGTAGATGTCACAACTCCTGCTACATAAATCCATGGAGGACCCAAAAGGAAAGTATAGGATGGACGAATGTCCATAACATAGAATGACAAATAGAAAGTGTGGGGACCAATCTTGACAGGCAAATCCACTTCTCCATCCACCGATCTTCTTGAACCATCAAACGCTCGAACATTTAGAGTGGAGGGCCTAATCATTACTCCGTCCATATTCAGCTTAAAAAAGGTAGCTTTAGGCATCACATTGAGTGAAGATCCCGTATCCACCAAAACTCGAGATAAAATAGTGTCCAAACACTTCATAGAAACATGCAGCGCTTTATTGTGGGATCTTCCTTCAATTGGGAGTTCATCATCACAAAAACCCAAACAATTTCCTACAGCAATATTAGTAACGATCCCTTCAAACTGGGCCACAGAGATGTCTTGGGTAACATGAGCAGAACATAAAGTCTTCAATAAAGCGTTGCAGTGGGCCTCTAAACACAAAAGGAGAGACAAAATGGAAATCTTAGATGGTGTCTGGTTGAGTTGATCCACTACTTTGTAATCACTCCGCTTGAGAATTCTCAAAAGTTGCTCCGCTTCTTGTCCTACAGAAAGTTCGGGTTGATTATCCATCACTTGCTTTCCCCTGGCCTTAGCTAGAGCTTCACTGTTAATTTCCCTAGGAGGCAGTGGTGGAGGAGAAAATATCTGACCACTGCGAGTCATGTTACTGGTTCCCGCAATGTTGGTAACATTCTTGTCACCGACCGGAGGGCACTCATACCTTTTTCCATGAATATAGACCATATTATACTCCCATGTGTAATACCCCAAATTTGTCCTACCCCTTTTGCTTTTATCTGGATTGCGCATCTCGCACTTTTCTCATGTACATATCTCCATTAGGTCATTTGATGTTGCATACATTCGCTAACAACATAATTTGGCATGGAATCAGTGATATGATGGAATTGGGGCTTCTATGGCTTTGATGGTCCTCATCGTCACTCAGGCTTGAATCAAGTGGGTTTCCCAAGTAACTGTGGTTTATGGAACTAGGGTTTAGATTCTTGATTATTGGGAACTTATCCCTCATCAAGGTACAAGGTTGTCACCATCAGCTAAGGATCTTATTAGGTTGATGTTTTGGTTCTGGTTAATATCTCAAGAGGTTCCTTCATTCAAAAGGCACCCAAGTCATTGGATGTTCATATTCATTCCTCGATGGTTCTTTAAGGCATTGATATGGTATTAGTTGTCAAGTCAAGGGTTTGTGAATGGAATGATAATTTGAAATTGGAAGTTAAGGTCTCAAGGATTTGAACTTTTCATGGAGATTTGGAATTGCGGAATTGTAAAGATGATCAAAGTTTTAAAGTACGGGTAGTTCATTCCTGGTTTATCTTGAAATCAAAGAACAAGTCACAAGCTTCCATCAAAAGTTTTAAGACATGACCATTCAAGAACATTCAAGGTTCATTCAAATTTCCACCAAGTATTAAAAGAGATTCAATAGTAATCAAGATTCAAGCAATTTCATCATACAAGCCAAGTATATTACCTATTCTAGCACAACATCACCATCTCAAAGTTTCCAAAAGTCATGGCCATTTACACCATAAATCATTACATCATTTCAAGTATTTTCCAAGGTTACATTCCTGTCATATTTTAATACATCAAAAAAAATTTACAAGAAAGCATTAAGACATAAAGCCTAAATCTACCAAAACTCCATCCAAGTGTCATCAATTTTCTTCAAAATCTTCATGCCAAATATCCACTTCTTATTCTCTTACTTCATGTTTCAAGTCATGTTCCAAAGCTTCATCCACGATTAAACCTATCCAATACCTTGCTACACCCACACATCCAACTTGCGTAAAAGATTGAAGTCCATTACACATACATATGCATGTCGATATGAAAGAACAGAACGTTTCCAAGATTAACACAATCACACAATTCCATGGAAGCCCGTCATAATCGCCTCATCACCCTACATACTAGTTGTGCCATTTTCCTGCAGCATGTATAACGGTTCAAAAATCAATTCTAAATTGTTGTCCAATATCACCAATCCTATAAGTTGATTCTAGAAAGGTTCGCGTGATATTACTCGGCAGTTTACCAAGAATCTAAAAATCATTGTTGGTATTATGTCTGTTCCCCAAGAACCATCAACTCACCCTCCTAACTACTAGCATAAATCTGTAACAACAAAAAAGTATCAGAAAATATCAATTGAGAATTCCAGAAAAGCAAAATATCAGAGAAAATATCACAACAAATACAAGAGAAACCATTGTCCTGCACCAATTTAGAACAAAGAGAAAAATGACTATTCTCCACAACCTGTAACAGAATTTCCAACAAACTAAAACCAGTTAAGTACATCTACTAAATTAGTTCTGAAATGACCACATCCAGTTAATTGAGAACAGAATCAAATCAGGAAATCAGAAGAAGAAAAACAGAAAACCAAGGAAGCCGTGAGAATTCATGAATTGAGAAAAACCATAAACAAAAATTCAGTTATAACTAACTTCATTTTTTTTGTTCCAATCATATCCATTGATTTTATAATTAACTATCTGATTCAAGGGCCTGGATTAAATTTTTCATAACAAACTATTAGATCTAACAGAAAATATGTAAATCAATTACTCACCAGATTCATGATGATTCTTCAAAACTCCCAGAAGAATCACACCAAAATTGAAAAATTCTCTCTTCTCCCTCTCCCAATCTTCATCCCTTAACCACCATCACCTTCGTTCCTCATCTGCAGAACTGAGAAAACTCTCTCATCTCTCTTCTTCTACCCTCTGAATTCTTTGAGCTCCCTATTCAATCATCTTCCAAACCTGTAACAATCCTCATGTAGCTTCTGCCTCAATCTGCATCATCTTTATCAATTCTTCAACCTCATCAGCCTTGCACCATCACCACTTACGGTCCAAATTCAATCTTCACTTTTCTCTCTGTAAAACTCTTCAAAGGTCTTCGTCATTCAATATTCATATGTGGATCGTGCATCACCTTCGTCCTCATCACACAACAACTCTGTAAGTTGCTTCGCATCGTCGTCGTTCATCAACTCTGCAACAAAGCGGTTTCATTCAAACAACACGCATCGACACCATTCAAGAACATAAAAGAACAACAACAACACCGCCACCTCTCTTCAATCTTCTTCAACAGATTTTCCACCATAACTTAAAACTACGCACGAATCTGCAACATACAATAACTCAAAAACAAAACGCAAGAAAGGAGTTTAATTGAGGACGAGCGATTGAATGGCAAAGACGAAATGAAGTCGAATCGGAGTAAGGTTGAAACGAAGGGAGTCGCGACAGAGAGGAGCGTCGTGAGGGAGATCGTTCTGATAGAAGATGAACGGAGAAACCGAATCATAACGGTGTGAGAGGCGGAGGTCACAATGGCTGAAGCGGGAGAGCGGCGCGATTCGTTGAAGAAGAAGGAGTCTGAACATCAATTTCAGAACCCTATATCCTTTCCCACACGCTGCATTTTCCCTTGATATCTTTTCCCTTTTTGTATAGTCTTATTTTAATAATGATAATAAAATGCAATAGTGTATATTTTTTTATAAGAATGATTTAATGTATTAATTACTGAGATTAATTGAATGTTAGTGATGATGTATAGGTTGGGCAGAAATCCCCCTTATTTTTTGGGAAAATCCAGTGCAACAAAAACAGGGTTTGTGGATCTCCTTTGCTGGGATTTTGAGCCATTTTACAAAACCGAACACCCAATTCTATATTATACACTCCTTCTGTTTATAATTTGGATGGATTTTCCTATTAATTCTCCTTTCTGTGTTTTTTGTTGAAAAAATGCATGAGTAAAAATAGTAGGAAATGCTTAGTGATTTTAGAAGTTAGTTAGAATTTTTTACGATCAATTCTTGTGCTAATTTTTGGATCCTTACTTGAGATATCTTGATGCAATGTATACATGATAGAAGTTCTTGATCCATGATACATGTTGGCACGATTGCGGGATGATCTTGGTTGAAGAAGTTCATGAAGTTTCAAAGCTAGCTAAGAGCATAATTTTCATCAAGGAATTCAAGGAGTTTTCTTATTGCTTGTGTGGTTTTGAAGAGGCGACGGACCTTCTCCGTTCGGTATCACCGTGACCTTCATTTTATTCCCCATTTTCGCACTTTATTGCTTCCTAGATATCATGAGAAGTAGGAAATAAAGAGCGTGCGCTCGAAGTCGTTGTTTAAAGACCTGTAGCAGGCATTCTGCACTTCATTTGTTATATGTGTTGTGCTGGTGTTTGTTTACTTTCTTGTCGATCGATGAGTCACTCAATTTAGCAATTGAGATCACGACTTCGCTCTCAGTGCATGCTCCCTATAGGAATTTATCGCTTTCCTTTATTTCTTGCCGATCAATGAGTCACTCAATTTAGAAATTGAGATCACGACTTCGCTCTCATTGCATGTTCCCTATAGGATAGTTTTGTTAGACTTTCTTCGGCATGCTAACTTAGATAGGATCTCTCTAGGTGTGCTCTCTTGAGCTTATTAACTTGTTCGCTTTATCCTTGTACATACCATATTCCCTTAGGATGTGCTTGCTCCATTCGGACGTAAGTTAGACCTTAGGTTGTAATCCATGCATGCTAACAGTAGGTAGAAACTTCCCCTTTCATCCTTGACATAGGGTTACCATTGTATGCTAACATTAGGTTTAGAAATAGGCTAGTCTCCCTTAGACTCTTTTCTTCCCTTTTTGCATGTGCATTCAAAACAAAAATTTCTTTTCTTAGCAAATCAAAAACATGCTAATCATACCTAAACCCTTTTTCAAGGTAACAAAAATACAAAACAAATTCAAACCTCTTTGTGCGCTCGAGCACCTTTTCTCTAAAACCTTTTTCAGGTAAGGACATGATTAATTTACTTCTGTGCCAACGCATAAGTCTCCAAAGGTCGAGCTGCGGCAGAAGGCTGAATTAACATTGTCCATAAAAAATATAAAACAAACAAAAACATATGAGCCGAACTACGGTAGCTCTGATTCCTCAAAAAGGATACGTAGGCATTGGGGTAGGACCCAGGCGAGCACAATTTTATTTTCCCTACATTATTTTATCCTTTCTTTTGCATGCATTTTCCCTCCAGTAGTATAGTAAACAGTAAGCATAGATTAAACACACCCATAAGATAGACAACAAGAGTGGATACCGTAGAGTACTACGGGCGTGTGGGGTGCTAATACCTTCCCCTCGCGTAACAGACTCCCTTACCCGATCTCTCGGTTGAAAGACCGTGAATTCTCCCTTCTCAGGTTTTCTCGATGTTTACCTTTCCCTACATGTGGGATAAAAGACGTTCGATGGCGACTTCATTGTTTGATGATTTTCAGCCGGTTGTTTCAGCTGGCGACTTCACTGGGGAATGTCGACCAAATGTTGGTCCATCTCGGAGTCGCTCCTAGCTCTTTCTTTCTTTCATTTGGGTGTTTATCCTTACGCTTTCAGTTTATTCATTCATTTTGTATATACTTGAGCATACGTATGCATTGCATTTTACTGTCTTCCATATGCTACTGTTGTACTGGATCTGCTTCTTATTGGGTGGGTGTTACTATGAGGTAAAAGGCCCAATACCCAGGCTAGATTTGTATACAATAGGAACCCTAGGAATAGAGTGGAACATGGACGTCTAGTTGACTTAGGTCTCACTATCGCCGCCATGTCGTCCATGCTCAGATGAGGTACAAATGAGGGGCTATCGTTTTCACTTAGGTGATACGGCGATAGTTTTTCAGGAGTACCCTCGATTCTGAGTTACCATTGCCTTGCCCTGACCTAGTTTTCACCCGTGAGCGGGGAGGGAATTCTTATTACAGGTAAAGATGGTGACTATGATCAGACGGTGACTATTAGTTCTAATGGCTATATTCTGGATTTCTGTTATGACTTTATGCAGATGCTATATCCTGTTGGTGACCGTATGGTTCTCAGATTTATTTTCTGAGTTCCTGACTTGTTTACCTGGAGGTTCATTCAAGCCTTCAATCTTGGTATTCCCAGCATGTTCAGAAATTCTCAACAGTATCCGATGTTCCAGAAGCCTTGACCCCGTACAATGGGAGATCCACATGGTACTTGGTTCTTATATGTGCGGAAGCTATGCCGGACCTTTGATCTAATGATACTCACATGATTCAGAGCAGTGCATCAATCTTATCCAGGAATGATGGAACCTTGATCCTCCTTGATCCCATGCCTTTGCATACATAACATGGTTAACCGCATGCTTAACATACATGTTCTATTATTTCCAAGGAATCATATTTGCAAGCCTTGTGTTGAACCCTTCCATCCCTTACTTGCGCAAAATCAAAATCAAAGCACGTAAATTCCTTGGAAATGACAGAACATGACATGGCATCCATTCATGCACCCCATGCATATTCATGCATTCATGACAGGTACCCGAAGATTGGGGATTCTTATTCAGACTCGAGGTTCTCTTCAAAGGTTCAACCTGATTTCTCACCGTACATGCTCGGAGATAGATCCGAGCGATATACATGCAAGCTTTGGCTCGTAGTCAGGAATTTCTCCAAGCAGGAGGATAATTGATTAAAGACTTAGATAAGCCAGGTCATGGAAACTCTGATGGTGATGTGTATTATTTCCTTTAAGACATGATATGCTTGGTGATGCATATTATACTGGGGCACCTGGCCAATCGATTGAAGATGGTATGCCATCCAAAGACAATGTCCAAGATAGGCTCAATCCAGAGACTACTATGTTCACATCAGATCTGAAGAGGAATTCTCTCACACACTCGAGCATCAAGACTACAGAAAGTCGTCAGAATCAACAAGTCCATACGGAGTCAAGTCTCCTCAATAATGGCAATCATTGGTTTCTTTACTGCATTTTCATTTTCATTCTTGCTTGTTTGTTTAAACATTGCTTGTATATAGAAACTTGTCTATTTTTGAATGAAAATCTTAATGCAATAAGTATGCTTGTCTTTAAGTGTTCCTTTCATTTTTACTCATCCATTCGTTATCACTCTTTAAATGTTTTACTTGCATATTGATGCCAGATTTCCTAGTCTTATGCTTAGGTAAATATTCAAAGGAGGATGATGACAATCTGAAAATGCAAAAATCTCTGGTTGGTACGCTTTTGAGTAAGACCCTGCTGACGATGTACAAGCCTTGTTTCAATCCCTAAACACTGGAGATATAAGGGAGATAGACCCTCGTCAACCCCTCTGAGCCTTCGAAGTAGGAGTCTTCTTTCTATTCATAAAAAACCCTCATTTCAACCCTGGGGCGGGTAGTGTTCAGCTAATCTGATCAAGCATTCATAACTCATCAAGAGTGTGCATCCAAGGACACAACAATGGATTATCCATCAGAAAGTAGAGGAAAGTCAAAACCACAATGGTTAACCTTCGTCTATCAGCAACGTGCATCAACTAACGATACCCCAATGAGTATCCCTCGCACGTCAAAAGGTCAACAAATGACGATACAATAATGGCTATCCATCATCTACTAGAGACTCAGGCAGTCACGATCACTTCTGACAAATCAAAAACAACGCAAAGATCAACGACTTGTTCAAAATAGAAAATACGAATGAGAAAGAAACAAATATCCCCGCTAAGTAGAAACTTGAAAACAAGTCACTTAGGCAAAAGTTGGGGCATCCCGCTGGACTTCCAAATCGAAATTCAAAAGAATTTGTCCAGGCAAAAATTAGGGAAAACAAGAAGGAAATTGAATAAAGCCTAAAAGGCGAGAAAAGGGTTACCAATGAAAATCCTCATGAAAGAACAAAGTCGTGTGATCAGACACCAAAAGCAAAAGGTGAAGTGACTGTCGTGTCCAAGAAACCACTGTGGTTCCTCAATCATCGCAAACTCTTCTCGAGAGATGAACGCTTGTATCGGGTCAACTGAACGTAGGAATGGAGAACATCATGGAGAATGGGTGGGCACCAAATAATTTTGAGGCTTAAATCCTTTTTTCTAAAACCGTGAACCAGGCCACGTTACAACCCATAAAAGTCCTAACTGAAGCATGGATCAATTCAAAAGCGTGCTACAACGAGATAGCGTTTAACTGACTCCTAAGAGGTACGTCTCAATATCTGTGTTGGCATCATATGCTTGCATTATCTTTCATAAAGAGGAATTTTCAAATGTTTATCTCTAGCTAGTGACTCGTTCACAACAGAGTTGTGACGTCATTTCATTCAAAGTTTTTTCAAACTTCAAGACTTACATATGTGTTGCATTAGAATCATCATTCTCATAATAAACATTCTTCTGCATACAAAACAACTGATTGCCATCAAGTAAGTTTGCATAATGAACAATCGGTGAAGAGCTCGATCTTGTCAGAGAAGAGAGGCTTGAATACCCTGTTGAAGCAAGAGTCAGCTGCCACAAGAGAAATGACTTATCCAGCAGCATGTTAA